TGTGTGTGTGTGTGTGTGTGTGTGCTCGAGTGCACGCACATGTGTAAGGACCAATGGAGGCTAGGTCATATACCAAAATATTAGTAACAGTGGTAAACTTTACATCGTTTATGGGCAATATTTACTATTTTTGCTTCTCTAAGTTTTCCAATAGGAAAACATTTTTACTTTTAAAATAAGGCAAAAAATTAACTAAAAAGAAGTACACAATGTGCAGTCAATTAAGACCTGGAAAACAAAGCTGTTCTCTGGCAAGAAGAAAAAGAAACCCCTTTAGCTTGTTTACAAAGTCAGAGATCCAATACACAGATGTGCTCGTCAGCTTCCCGGACACTCCCCGAGTTCACATGGGTTTTTCCCACAAGCTTATGTGAAACTAGGAAACTTCTTTAGTTACCAACACAAAACACATAACACATAACACACATGCACACATATGAAGACAAGGCAATCTGGGAAATCATTGCTTTGTTTAAATAGAGCAGGATTAAACACGTCTTCACAACCCCCATAAGTTTTAAAAGTGATTTACATGCTTCGCTAAGGAGCGATCTGGAAAGATTCAAATGATACGATGTTCTGTTTTTCTGAAAGGTCTTCAAAAATAATTTATTAGGCAGCCGCTTGGCTTCAGTTGAGCAGACCGTTATAACAGTGTACTGTATTTTCAAAGCTTTGCTAACTGTGGGTGGGGCCTAACCACTTGCTTTAACCATTTTTAGTCTCACATATTCAAAATAAAGACCTTTATATTTCCTCTAACCTTTTACTGATTAAACTTTCACATGAGAATCTAGATCCTCCTAAAATTCCTTTTTTACTAATCATCCATAAACAGACAAAATAGTGTATGGAAATTCTCATAGGAATATAGACAGGCTTGTTCAGATCCAAGAGGTCAAGAATAAGAAATCCACATTCCAAGGTAACAGTGTCTTTGATTGATTGGGAGGCCTAGTGTCATCTTAGATGTAATATATTAAGGATACAGCTTAACTCTTCATATCTTCTGGAGCAGTGGTTCTCAACCTTCCTAATGCTGCCAGTTCCTCATGTTGTGGGGACCCCCAACCCAACCGTAAGATTATTCCATTGCCACTTTGTAACTGTAGTTTTGCTACTGTTATGAATCCATGTAAACATCTGATATGCAGGATATATGATATGCGATCCCTGTGGGGGTCAAGACCCATAGCTTAAGAACTGCTACTCTAAAGCTATGTTCAACCTCCACCTCCACAACCAAAAGGGCATCTCCTCAACTTCTAACGTCTGTCAATGGTGCAAGGCATCAGCCGCTGTATTACCTACCTACTGACACGAAAACCTGCCTTCAGGTTCTCTCTAGACCTAGGTTATTTTCACAGCCTCTCATTTGTCTCCCTGTCTCTAATCTACCTATTGCCACTTGAGCCCAAACAGCAGCAAGCTGCCAGCCAGCTTAAATTCCACTTTAATCACATTACAATGCAGTTCAAGAATCCTGGATTGAATTCTACCCTTCAATCAGGGAAATCAAACCCTACAGTGTCGTTCAGACCCCTTTCTAATATTATCCTCTGCTTCTGCTCGCGCGAACTCCGCCATCAGGCTGATGTAGCGCCAACTCTATTAATGGCTCGTTCAAGCTGCCCTCCCACCTCGCTTTCTCCTGAGTGCAAACTTATGCTCTCAGCATGTTCAGCTCAAATCCCAATGTAGATTTCAGCAGACACCAGAGCTGCAAATAAAAGCCTTTTCCTTCTCGACACTCACAGAGCGTCTGACCCACCGACTAAGCAGTAAGCCGTATGTCCCCCAAGCCAGTAAACATCTAGGCTCTAACATCCCTAGACAGAGAGCTAGAAATCCGCTAAGTGCTTAAGTGATACCTGGTGAGCTATGAATCATCTGCACATTTAGTTTTTGAGCAAAGTCAAGTTGTGTGTGTGTTTGCTGTGTCACCCTGTGTGTATCCACTAAGCCTCTTCTCCAACAGTATACATGTCACTTTGTATGGGGTCCCTAATTCCATGCTTAGTGTTTGGGGGTTTCTTAGAATGCAATGGACTCAGCATGTACTCATTGCTGAGGACGTTCTAGTTCCTGGAGGCACAGCTCCGAGCTTCTCTGGCGTCAGGTTGTGGCGATGTGCCCTCTAACAGGAGGGGCATAGGTGTAATGGGGACTGGCAGCTTAGGCAACTGTCCTGCACTTAGTGGGACTAAGACTCAGGCTCTCAGAAGGCATTCGGTGTGAACCACATGGTTTGTACACACAGAGTAAGTACAGCAAGCCATGCTCATCATCCAGGCAAGAAGACCATGACTCTAATCAAAGATAATCTTGTCAGCAGGCTTGTTGAGGTGGCAGTCTTGAGTCTGCTTTAACTCTTCTACACAGAAGTCATTTCATATTGCTATCAGAGAGATATTAGCACCAATCATGTCTGATTTATAAAGGTCTCCTAGAGTAATTTTTTGAGACAGGGTTCAGTCCTGGCTATCCTGGAACTAGCTCTAGAGATCAGGGTGGCCTCGAACTTATTGAAATCTACCTGCCTCTGTCTCCTGAGTGCTGGGATCAAAGGCGTGCACCACAGCCCAGCTAGAATAATTTTTAAAATTAAAATTTAGCAATTAGAAATGTATTGTTTAGACTGGCATGTGCTGTTTAGATGAAACATAATTTTGATATTTTAGGTTTTGTATTTCTCCCTGCAAAGAAAGGTATCCTTTAGAGGAAGTGTGTGTGTGTGTGTGTCTGTCTGCCTGTTCAAGCTGATGTGTGCATGTGTGTCCTAAGGCTGTCTCAAGTAGTCCAGGCAAGCTTTCTTCTGCTTTTATCTCAAGTTCTGGGACTGAGGTCTAGACCACTATAGCTGGCTCAAACAATCATTCTTAAACAAAGATTTGGTAGTTAGGATACAGGAATTGGTAGAACATCTAAGTAAACAGAACTTTTTCATCACTGAATGCCAAAGCACTGTAGCATTTTAGGTGCGCTGTCCTATGAATCCCTCATGACAACCCCAAATCACTAACTATTTCAGTTTTTCAAGTTTTAGCTGTGAACACCTAAGTAAACCCATGAACTGAGATTTACTTAGACACACCCCTCATTCTAAGACGAGCAAGGTCTTAGCTTTACACAAGACAGACTCACACAGCTTCGAAAGCACATGTTCCTCACCACGAGTCATTCCCTTCAGACCATATTTCCCCCTCACTAGTTAGAGCACTAGTAGCCTTATTTCTCTTGATAAAGCCAGATTTTAGTTGGAAGGAGGGTTTGTTTCACACCAGACTATCCCTCACCCCTGCTGAGGATAAATCCAGTTATATAGCCTTTGCATCTTAAGTTACTAGGAAGCTGCCTTCAGAAACTCTTCAACAGCACACAGCTTCTCCCTTTGTCTGGCATCATACTGTTTGAAGCTCTACACCTGGACCAGGATCTTGGCATCACCTGATCAGATTGGCCAGGGTGGGGTTTTGGGAAGGTGTGCTTCCTAAGACTCAATTCATTTACTTGCAAAGTAAGAACCTCCACGTCACAGTCCTGCTCAGGGTAGTGAAACCCAGTGTACTTGTTTACTGGGAAAAAGAAAAAAAAAAAGTCTACTTTTGATGAGTAACTGGCTTTTGAGAAGCACGCCAAAGAAGGGCTTAGACCGGTGTTCTGACCACCAGGTGTCAGCAGTGTGTGAGCCAGAAGCCCAAGCCTAACTGCTCCAGGTTGGGGGAGGGGGTTAAGAACCCCGCAGGAAAACTTTGTCTAGGCCTCAGGGTAAGGCTGTCACTTGACCCCCGACGAAGTCCAGGATTGCTTAGGCTTCTCCATCCCAAGAGCTAGTACTGTATATATTGTTTCTGCACAGTTTATTGTTCTCTGACGGGAGTGTTAAAATGGTTGTAATACAATCATTTAGTTGACTGCCTACAGGGTTGTCATCACAGTCTAATATGTTTTTGGTAATTTTGGGAATCAATAGCACTTCATACATCTGTTCATTAGGCGATTGGCATTTTCTGGCTTCCATAGGTTTCATTATTGCCACAGAGAGCAACTTTCTGGCTTCCAGCTCACAACCCATTGACATTATTTCCTTTACATTATTAATGGAACAGCAGATAAAAAGAATATAGTGTAAAAATTAACTATATATGATATATATAATATTCATTGACTACTAGCCCTTCTCCTTGACTTTAGGAACTTTAAAGTTCATTCCAAAACTTCTTTCAATTTTCCGTTTTCTTGTAGAGAAACAATACTTAGGGATAAATCTACCAATCTGTGAACTGATTTAAATTACTCAAGGAATCCTGCCACACATGGCTGCATTCTGTCACCGCTGAAGGATTCTCCCACAGTGCCTAGGGGCTCATTTCAAAATGAGGACGGGGTCTGGGCTCTCCAATTCTACGTCCTCCACTCTGAAACACACCAGTGACACTAGAAGGTGGGTAACTGAGAAAAATCGTATCAAATGGACATGGAGCTCTTAGTCGAGCCAAAGACTACAGTCTCGTCTGCCAGGAACACTTGACTCAAGTCAAGTCCGATCAGGCGTATCCCAGGCTCTCTCCTGGCCTGGCCACTCTAAGTCACAGGAATTAATGTCAACCACAGATGGTTCCGAGTGGGCGCTCTTGGAACTGGAACCGTTTGGGTAATTTTTTGCTTTTAAAAAGCTTTAAGTTCTAGTTTGTATTTTGCAAATATGGGAATGTCTCCAGAGAAACCAGAAGCATCCTTTCCTCCTGTGTCTCCATCACTCCCATTCCTGGAGAACTGGGAGGAAAGCAGACACCAGTGGCCACCTGGAGTCAGGAGCGCCGGGAGTCAAGGCCAACTTGATGCCCTGACTGATCTCAGACAAGTCCCCGGAGGACGATGAGCTCACTGGGCTGGCAGCTCGGCAGAGCAAAGGGGCCAGGCAAGGAAAGGGATGCTGGTCGTGCAACAAGCCCCTGCCGGCGGGCGGGCGCCGGAGAGCAGCTCGAGGGACCCGTTACCTGGAGGACTCGGCGGTGAAGCTGCCGCCGTCCAGCAGCCGCATCTTGCAGAAGAGGACCCCGTTGACGAAGGGCACCGAGGAGAGCTCCTCGAGCTCGAAGTCCACCTTAAACTTAAACTTCTTTTTCTTCATCATCGTGAGGGCCAGGCGACGGCGAGCGAGCTGAGCAGACGGCCGCCGCCGCCTCAGCTCGGCCGAGCCTCGGATCCGCCCAGCCCCATGGCCGGGGCCGCGAGCAGCGCGTGGGGGCGCGGCCGGGGGGCGCCGAGAGCCGGCGGGAGCCGGGGCCGCCTGTCGCGGCAGCCCGGGCCGGAACGCGCCGGCGGCTGCAGCGCGGACCCCGGCCGCCCGCGAGGAGCGGTCGCCTTGCAGCTCGCCCGGAGAGTGGGCGCCCTTTCGGTGCCTCTGCCGCCGCCCGTCTGATTGCGAGCAGGGAGAGGCGCCACTGGAAGAACGGTCGCCGCCTCCGGGCCCGAGAGGCCCCCTAGCGGCCACGGCCCGCAAGCACACTCAGTGCGAACCCGGCGGGCGGGCGGCAGGCGGAGGGCGGAGACACTCCAGGTTGGCAGGCGCACGCCGGGCGGGGAAGCTGGGGAAGCTAACACGCGAAGGCAGTAAGCTCGTCACTCCTCCCGCGGGTTAAAAAAAAGACAAACCCAGCCGAAAAAGCTTCCTTCTGCAGCTTCCTCTGCGCCTTTCCTTTCTGGGTTTGCACCGCCCCCTTTCTTCCCATCCCCCTCTAGTGGTTTCATGGCCTCTGAGTGGGAAGAGAGAGACAAATAGAAACCCAAACCTAAAATTTTCTGTAGGGATTCTAAATTCGCTAGTCCTTAAACATTAGATGAAAATCAGGTAGGAGAAAGGAAAAAAAAATTAAAATGTGTTGTGGGCGCATCAAGGGCCCAAGCACGGGGCTGTGCCATGTATTTCCTCTCATTGATGCCTTGTTTATTTAATTCTTGTCACCCAGGAAAGAAAAAGGACTAGAGGAGTTAAAATACTTTCCCCTTTAAAATCTGTCCATTCTGTGAACCATTAACCGTTAACACATGAAGGCATGCTTTAAAAACTTCTCCTTAGATGAGTAACACACACACACAAACACCCACACACACCATACAGTATATTGTTAAAATCTAAGCTATTAACCTAGCTACATAATGTTTTCTGGGCGGGGGTGGGGGTTATGTTGTTACTGTTGCTTGCTTATTTTGTTTTTTAGTTAGTCTCTAGCTCAAGCTGGCTTCAAACTCCCGAAGTAGCCAAGGATCATGTTGAACTTGTGATCCTTGTGTTAGGACGATAGGAATGTTCTGCCATGCCAGGTTTATGCAGTGCCAGGGATCAAACCCAGGGCTTTCATGCATGCTAGCAAGCAACGGAACCACTGAGCTACTGGTCTTTTTACTCTTTGAAAAGATGTAATTGAAAACATTTTTCTTCCTAGATCACTCATTTAGTTAATTTTTTTAAATTCAACTTATATATCTGGGTGTCTTGCCTATGTGTATGCCTGTGTACTATATGAGTGCCTGGTACCAGCAGAGGCCAGAAAAGAGGGTCAGATACTGTTAAACTGGAGTCACAGATGGTTGTGAGCTCCCGTGTGTATTTGTGCATTGAACCAGGCCCTTTGGAGCCCCTGAAGCATCTCTGCAGCCCACTCCTTTATTTATTCATGTAAATATTGTAATTGCCTAAACCATCAGTCACTAGCCAGATTCCATGATCAAAAATGATCAAAACCCAAAAACTGCCCTTAAGAATTTTACGGTCTTGAGCTGGCCAAGATGTCACAGACAATCCTATGACAAGAGTTTGATTCCTGGAACTCATGTGGTGGAAAGAAACAACTACCTAATCCCACAGGTTGGCTTCTGACCTCCACAGGTTCGCTGTGAGGCACACACACCTAAAAATGTGCTCACATTAAATAAAATACTAAATAAATATGTTATTAAAACTTACAGACAAAACTGGGGTGCAGTGAGTTGTCAAAGGGTGAAGCAGCTTCGTTCCAGAGAACCCATGTAGAAGAAGGAAGAGAACCAGCCCCACAAAATCATCCTCTGAGTCCCAAACACCACCATGACATGCCTGCTTCTGTGTACACACATTTCTCTTGATCGCGCGTGCACACACAAATAATAATACATAACAGTTTGTAAAAGACAAAAAATAAGGAAAAATAACTAAATTCAAACTAGGTAGAATTTGGAAGAGAAAGTGATGGATAGAAATGAACATTAAAGAATAGCTGGGATTTGGGAGAAAGTAGGAGGTGTTCCTGGTGAAGAAATGAAAATCCACACAAGGCTTGACATCTGGGCATGGGGATTTGGTAGTGGATGCTTGTGGCCCTGAGGACAGAAAGAGACAGGGAAAACAGTGGATTGATGTTTGTAATTTGCAGAAATGGGGACAGAGTGTTGCAAGCCAGAGGGCAGCTGGGAATAGAGGAAATAATGAGTATTGGAGCAGTTTGCAGGGAGCGAGGCTGAGCCTTAGTGCTTGTGAAAGGTTAAGGTTGAAAATATGCACTTGGGGATTGCGGTATTCACTGATGGCGGAAGCCCAAAAGGCGGGTAAGAGGGGATTGCTCTGGAGAGTACTTAATGGGCAGCTGGAGGAGAGGTGATTGTGAAGGCTTCCAAGAACAAGCAGCCAGAGAAAGAGATTGAGTGAGATCGCCGGGAAGCCAAGAAAGAGTTTGAACCTTATAACACTAGTTACTAAGATCTACTGGGGTGTTGGGTGCAGAGGCAGGAGGATTCCTGGGACCTGCTAGTCTGCCAGTCTAACCATGAGAGGCCCTGTCTCAAAAAGGTATCAGAGAACAATTGATATAAATACCTGATGCTGATCTCTGATCTCTGCCCCCCCATACACACACAGAGAGAGAGAGATTTGCACATGTGTGCACTGCAAATCCTGAAGAATTTGGATTGAAAACAGCTGCAGAGTCGAAAAGCTAACAGTCATTGGTTTACCTTGGTGAGAGAATTTTCCGTAAAAGATGCTGGCAAGGTGAAATTTAAATGGTTTTGCAAGTGGAGAGTAGAAGGTGGGTACGATGAAGTATGACTGAAAGGGTTTTGGTTTGTTTGTTTTTCTGATTTTTTTCTCACTGAATGAGGGGCAGCAGTAGTCCAAGGAGGGTTCAAATCTTTCAGCAGTATTCAGGGACTTTCTGGCACTTACTGAGTTCCTATCATGCGTCAAACACTTTATAGATCTGAGATGTGTCAAAGATGCTGCAGCCTATGGAGGATGTAGTGATGTGTGTGTAAGTGATGGAGAAGGGATACGGCTGTGATAGAAGACAACGCCATGGAGCCAAGTTAAGCGGGCTTATGGAAGGCTTTCTGGGATTGTGATACTAGAGCTGAGGCCGGAAGATGATGGTTGGGGGTGGGGAGCAGTTTCTACCCTATTCTCATGAGCAGAGCCTCAGAGGAAGAGGTGCTGGGCAGAGGGAACTGAAATCATTCTGTCTGACTGCAGCTTATTGTCCTACTTGGGAACGGGCGCCACTGGTATTTTAAACCAGAGGAGATCCACCGGAGTGTTGGGTGCAGAGGCAGGAGGATTCCTGGGACCTGCTGGCCAGCCAGTCTAACCAACTGGCAGGCTCTAGGTTCTTATATTTCATAAGGCTCTCCAGCTGCAGTGATGCTGGGAAACAGCATACGGTTTGACTATTAAACCCCAGCGTGAGGCAGGATGAAGGCAGAAAACAGCCCTGTACTCCAGTGTTCAGGAGAGGAAAGCTTCATGGGAGGGCTCGCTACAGAGCAGAGGGCCGAGAGGTGGGGAGAAATAACTTTGATTCCTCCCACCTCCCACAGGTGCTCCCCTCTCCTGAAGCCAGCCCAAGCCAGAGAGCAAGGGAGCCTGAAAAATGCAGTTTAGAGGAGACTGCCATGTGGGGCATACAGGGGCGGAACAGACTCAAGTGCGTGCACAGTGGATTCAGCCAGCATTCCCTACTGGAATCCTAAACAATGCTAAATATTTTGAGAGAGGAAAAAAAAACGGTTTTCTTTCAGCATTTTGGTACTTCTGATGTCATTGGAGGAGATCGAGGATTGGAGATCCACAGGGTATTGAATCCCTAGTCATGTCATCAGCTTGGTCCTTCTTCGTCTTCTGACGTAGGAAAGTTTGCATCTCCCAGTCTGCTTATAGGCAGGTATAGCTATGGTTCTTTTTCTAGCTCAGTGGTTCTCAACCTTCCTAACGCTGAGACCCTTTAATATGGTTCCTCATGCTGTGGTGGCCCCACAATCATAAAATTATTTTTGCTTCTACTTCTTAACTGTAATCTTGCTACTCTTATGAATCATAATATAAGTAGTCTTGTAGATAGAGGTTTGCCAAAGGGGTTGTGGGCTATGGGTTGAGAACCACTGTCCTAACCGATACTGTATGAGAAGCAATGCACTTCCAGGATGAGATGAAGCATATCCTCCGGCAGTTTTCTGGACCGTCTTTCCCCTGCCAAAGTAGTTAATAGAGTTCTGGGAAGACCTTCACTTAAGATGGAAGAGCCACAAAATCAAAAGAGCTCTGATCTCTGTGTAAGAAGAGAGATACTGCCCACACCTACGGCAGACATTTTGGACTGAGGAATGAAAGAGTAGAGACAAGCACAGCATTGGTGATTCAATGGTAGAAAGAGTAGAGACAAAATATGCTTCAAAGCCACCCCCTCTCTGATAACTCATTTCTTCCTCCCAGACCAAACTCCTAGTTTCCCCCACTTGCTAAAATAGCGTTACCGGCTGGGGACAAAGTCTTCACCAACATGAACCTGTGGAGAACATTTCCTAGTCAGAGCAGACGGGTAGAAGAAGCAGCTATAACCAAAGCAATTGTGTAAGTTGAAGCTAGGCTAGCTGTGACTACAATCCAAAGTAACAGTCGAGAAAGTATGACAAGAAGGTGGAAGAAAGGTGTGCTCTCATCTCTTGAGAACATTTCTGGAAAGATGCAGAATCCATTTTTATTTAAATCCCATTGTCACTGGAGAGAAATCATGACGACAGTTCCAGGCTCCACAGAAGCCTCCCACAGGTTCTTTACTTCTAGCTTTTGCTGGCTGTATTTTGATGTCCAGGGACACTTTAGAAGTTACATGATAAAGATCACAGACCCTGGTCCCTGGGTGATTGTGTAGCAGAGGTTAACCTTTGCACCCCTGACCAAGAATGCTTACATTGAAGTGTTGTGTGAGCAAGAAACATT